GGGGGGGGGGGGGGCACAAGGGAGGGGACGTACGGTCGAACGGCCGGCCGAGGGGGCAGTCGTCGACTTCCGCAGGAAGGTCGACTTGCCCGTGCCCGCCTCGAAGTGGCGGAAGTCCAGCGACACATTGGTGTGGTTGACCAGGATGTAACGCGGCTTGAGGGTGATCACCTTGACCGACCGCAGTGAGGCGGCCACCTGCTGGTCGAGGGTGGACTCGGCCCCGGCCCCGGCCAGGCGGATCTCGCTGGCCAGCTGCCAGGCCTTGGTGGACTTGCCAGCCCCGAGCAGGGTGACTTCGCCCTCGGACCCGACGGCCGCCGTGTTGAAGGGCTGGATGTGGCGGGGTCACGGAGGACAGGCGGTTAGTCATCGAACCCGGTGCCCAAGGAGCCGGGCCATGCCGGGGGGGGGGGGATCCCATGCGCAGGGCATTCGCGTCCCCTGCAAAAGGGGGAAAAAAAAAAGACGAAAAAAGGGCAGGAGCATAACCAACGCACGCTGGACCACTGGGACTCGTGCACCCGCAGCGACGTCAGGGACTTCATGCTGCTGGTGACGTAGAGCGTCATCGGGCAGGATTGCGACCCGTCGACGCTGTTGAAGGTAGACAGCATCGTGAGGGCCGTGTCCTCCAGAGGGGTGGCATCACCGACGCCGATGGTGCTGGCGCTCATGCGGTTGGCATTGCGCACTTGCAGATCGAGGCCCGTCTTGTTGACGATGAGATACGGCGAGAAGATGGTCAGCGCCCGGGGCAGAGGATGCGACCCGGGGCCGGACACCAGCCGCCGGTGGGCCACCCGCAGCCCCAGCGGGTCCGGGCAGTTGTCCGTGAACAGGTCGATGGTCCCCTCGCCGGCGCCGGCCCCCATGGAGGGGTCCAGGATGCGCAGGGCCTCACGCGAGCAGAAGGTGGCCGCCGGGCTGCGCCGATGCGACCCCAGCTGCGGCAGCGACAGCCCCATGTACACCCGCCCGGTCACCGGCACATCGAACACCTCGCACCGGCTGCACGGGTCCAGGGTCCGAGAGAAGCCATTGACACTGTCGAAGGCCCGACGCTCGGTCTCCAGGCCGAAGGCCACCGGCGTCGGCAGGACATTCTCCAACACCAGCGGCGCAAACAGCCGCAGGTTCACCCGGCGCCCGGCGCCGGAGGAAGCAAAGCAGGCAGCCAGATGGAACACCGAGCGCGACCCATTGACCGGGTTGCACTCGAGCACGCCCCCGGACCAGGACGGCGCCCTCAGCAATTGCCCCGGCACCCCGGACAGGTCCAGCGCCTGGCAGAAGTCGAAGACATCGGAGATGGCCGATCCGGACCCGAGGGACACCGAATGCGGCACCGGCCGCACCGCCAGGGCCCCATGCGGGAAGCAGGTCACCGGCAGGGCCAGCGTCCCGCCATGCGGCTGGACAACATGCCCGGCTGGCGGACCCCCGGCCGACCCGGCATCGGCCTTGGCCCCGGCCGGCAGGAAGACCACCTCCAGCGGCACGCTGGTGGCATTTTCCAACACCAGCGGCGACCGGAAATGCACCACCTTCAGGCCATCCACCACATTGATGTCCACCACCATGGGCACCCGGCGGAAGGTGGCCCCAGACCCGGACCCGGCCGTGCCGCCGGCGAGCCCACCAACACCGGCCACCACGGTGGAAGCCAGATGCGTCAGCCCGGCCAGCGGGGCGGCCCGAGTGGACCCGCGCGTCGGGGTCGACGGCGACTCGGCCACCGGCGAAGCGGCCACCGAGCCCGAGGAATCGCCAACCGCCTGGCGCAGGGCCAACAACCGCGAACCGACCGTGGCCATGGAGAAGGAGGAAGCCGGCAGCCCATCGGCCCCGGCCGCCAGGCTGACCGACAGGCGCGAGGCCGCCACGGCGCTGGTGGCCGCCGCGGCCGCGGCCGCCGTGGCACCCATGGCCGCTGGCCGCACACCGAAGGCCGCCGACGACAGGCGCGACCCGTCGCCAGGCAGGGCCAGCAGGCTGGGCGTGGCGGACACCGCCGCCGGCGCACCCTCCGCCATGTCCACCAGGGCCAGGTGCAAGTCCAGCCCGGTGCTGTTGATCACCTCGAAGGCCGAGGACCGGGCACCGGCCGACCGGGCCGCCACCAGCAGCGTATTGTCGGCGGACACCTGCCCGGACAGCTCCTGGAACAGGGTCCCGGCACGCAGGAGATCCTGCAGCAGGTCGTGCGTGACCGTGCACTCCAGCCGCCGCGGGGCCAGCAGCTCGATGCTGGTGGCCTGCCCGATGGACACCGACGCCGAGCAGGACCACTTCTCGATGACCGGCTCCCAGGCGGACCGGCGATTGTTGAAGTAGTTGACATAGAAGGACGGCGAGATGGACACCGCCATGGAGGTCACCTCGCCCAGGGACCCGGTCAGGTCCACGCTCAGCGGCAGGAAGCACACGTCGAAGAGCGGCGTGTTGGTCAGGCCCAGGTCATTGACCACGGTCAGGTGCAGCCCCTGCAGGTGCAGCGAAACCACCAGGGCCCGGGCTGCCGGATCCACGGCAGCGAGGCCCGGGGCATCGGCCGCCGCCGCCGCCGCCACGGCCTGGGACTCGGCCGCCGTGTGCGACAGGAGCTCCTGCTGCCGGGCCGCATCGGCCAGAACCAGGTGCCGGTCGATCTCCGTCGGCCGGAGGATGTCATGCGCGTCGACAATCTGGCAGCAGGAAGAGGGGGGGAGGGGGGAGGGGGGGACGAAGAGACGAACCAGGGAGGAGCCGAATGAAGGAGGAGCCCGGGAAAAAGAGTCAGACATGAGAGGGCACATGGCTCGCCAGGGGGAGGAGAGCGGCCGGCAGGGAGGCAGGCAGAGTCACGCACGGTGTCCGGCTTCGGGCGGCGAGCGTCGGCATTGAGGAACTGGCACCCGGTCAGGGTGCTGGCGATGTAGCCGCCGTAATTCGAGAGGATAATCAAACCCGCCAGGTTGATGGAGATGTTGGTCGGCTGCAGGGTCAGCCCCACACCGATGGACGTCTCCTTGAGGGTGAGCCCCACGCGGCAGCTCATCGGCGCCAACAGCGGCAGGGAGGACAGGTCCCGGGAGATCCGCTCGCCCGACAGGCTGAGCGACGTCACAACCAAGTCCAAACGCATGTCCGACCCGGAGGTGGCCAGGGACATGCTCGTTCGCGGCAGGGCCAGGCACAGGAGGGCCGGCGCGCTGGCCGCCGCCGCGGCCGCCGCCGCCACCTTGCCCGACTGCTCGGACAGCAGCGGCACAAAGAGCCGCGTGTCGGAGATATGCAGCTCCAGGGTGAAGAGCGGCACGGCCGGCGGGTCCTCCGATGAGGACGCCACCCCGGCACCGGGGGCGGCCTCCGCGGGGTCGGCCGCCGGCTCCGAGCCACCGGCCGCCGGGACGATGGCCGAGCTGGAGCTCGATCGCGAGAGGGCCCCCTCGGCCGCGGCCTGGTCCAGAAGCTGGGACTGCGCACGGATGGACTGCAGGAACTGGTGATCCTGCACCGGGACAAGCAGGGTGTCCGCGCACCGGAGCAGCGGCTCCGGCACCAGGCGGAAGGTCGGCTCATGGATGTCCACCGAGCAGAGGGTGTCCATGCCGGCGGACTTCTGCGACAGGGAGGTGGAAATCCGACTCACGGCGAAGAGCTCGTCCTCGCTGCCGTGACCGGTGGACCGCGCCGGGAGAGGCATCCGCGATGGTTAGTCGGAGGTGGGGGGGGGGGGGGGGGCAACGGCATGAGCGGACACCGTGGAGACAGGCTGGGCCGCCGGGCTTGGGGCCACACACAGCCATCCCAATGCGCGGAAGGCCGGGGCCGGGGTGGGGGCGGGCAGGGGAGAGAGAGAGAGAGGGGGGGGGGGGGGGGGGCAATCCGCAAACGCACCCAGACACAAAGAGCAGCGAGGACAGATGTGCCTCAACGGCCAGGTTGCCCGACTCGAAGAGGGCCACCTGCGCGGCGAGGTCCTTCAGGCGCAGCGCGCCGCATTCGACCATGGCACCTGCGAGTTGAATGGGGCCGGAGCGACGAAGAGGCAGGGGAAGGGGCAAGGCACAGGGGTCAGCCAATTCACCTGCAGCGGAGACACAGCCTTGCCTCTCCTCCCGGCGTGCCATAGACGAGGAGGAAAGAGAAAGAGAGGAAAGAGAAAGAGAGGAAAGAGAAAGAGAGGAA